GAGAAAGATCGGAATAACGACTTATAACTGATGAGTTAGTAGCACCTAGTAATCCACACAGTCCTGATTAGGAGTTCTTTTGAACAGACTGATCCAAGTTGTTCTGGGAAAAAATTGTCCAAAAATACTACTTCAGACCGTACTCATTGGCGGATCCAGTGGGGAGCAAGCGGAGGGAGGGGGAGGTCAGGTTGTAGTGTTAAAAGTGAAGAAAATTGTGATTGGCATCAGTAGTACCCCCCCCCCCTGGATCGTTTCGTTGCCACAGGGAGTGATAGCCGGGGGAGGTGGGAGAGGGAGAGACCGGACTTCTAATGTAGTGACATACTGGGGGAGAAGAGGGGGGGAAGGAAAATCACCCAAATCCCCCGTTCCCTTGCTCCGGAAGACAGCTCTAGATCCGTCTATGCCCGTATTATACCAAAAAATCATTTTCTTACCACTTTTGTCATCTGTGTTACTCACATCCCCAGTACAAGTGTCTCGGGAACTTCTGTTTGAAATGCTTGGGTCAGCTGCAATTCACAGTAATTACTTTTTAGCAGTACGCTTTCTGGGTAGACGCGTCAGTTTCATTCATAACCTGGTACCCCACCTAAGAGCTTTTTCCATAAGCAAAAGTATAGCGAGGAGTTTTTTGGGATAAAAATATGTGAATTTTTGCATTCATGAACGGCTAATTTTGCAGCCCGGTAATGGTGCTTTCTGTTCCGGTGAATTCGCGGAAAAACGCGATTTACTACTGCCCAGTGAAGTAACATCCGAGAGTCAATCACGTAAATTTGGAATTCTGCCTTCATTTGAACGGGAAACGGCTATCTGATCAAAGCTTCTGCTTCAAACTGTGAATTCCGGTAAATTTCTCCTCCGATTTGTTGTTTGGTATTTTAATTTTGAATTTCGGTTTTGTATATATTTTCCTGACTTTTTTGATATGTTTTTCTGATGCTAAATTATATAAGTATTAGTTTCCAGTGGAAACAAACACGTCTGTGTAGTAAATAAAATTCAGAATTAAACTGCTGGCGTGTATTATTTGGGACAGAGAGTATCTGAAATGGATGCATACGAGTTAATTGAACTCGAATTTGAATAGAATACAAATTGAAATTTGAAAAATGGAGGAAAAAATTTTATAAAATGAATCTGCAGTCGGCGAGTTCTGAATTTACAACAACGTTGTGGGAATATTTTCATGATTTCTCCTTCGACAACGTCGAAAATTTTGATTTTGATCAGATATTTTTCGACTTATTTAATGTTTATGTTCCAGTAGAGTTTCGTAATAGTAAAATATATGTGTTGGGGAAAAAGAATCACTGTTTTTGAGGTTTTTTGTTGAAAATTTTCATCACAGGTATATCCAACTTCTGCAAGGAGTGAGAAAGCAAATGCACCGCAATTCGTGTTTTAGACCCTTTTTCTAAAATAATTTCTTCCCAAGACAAAAAGTTAGTACCTACATTTGCTGCCAAGCCTCGAAATGCACATATTTTGTTTTATAAATTTACTTCCGAGTGTCAATGCATCTCGTAGAAAGTGAATGCCGAGGGGGTTTTGATTTTTGACTTGCTGCATGAGAGGTATTCTCTACTACTTCGGCCTTTTTTCTTTGGTGTCAGTGATTTGCAAGAGGTTCAGATTTTATCCGGGATTTCTCGGTAAAAGACCCAGAGTTTTTATAAAAATAAAAGTTGCGGAAGAATTGGGGTAACGAGTTGTCTTTTACTTCAAAGGGCTGCATTAAAGAGCGACATAATGATAATAGTAGTGGTCTTACGAAGCCCAGTATTGATAAGCTCGAAGCTAGCGACTTCATGTTACTTCCTCGTATGTCGTGGGGAATATTGCTGTGGAGCGAGCACAACAAATTTCAGTCCTCTAACTGTATCGGTTGCAGAGTTACAAAAATATCCACGTTTACAGCGATAGCTAGCGCAGATCAAAGGCGGTAGAAATTAGAGGAGGGATTAAAAACAGTTAGAAAAAATTTGAGCTTCCCCTCACTGGGTGATTGATTTCACTACTCATTCTATAGGAGTTAGAAAGGGGCTTTAGCTTGTTGTTTCCGGAAGCTGTTTCCTTGGAAAGAGGGATGTCTCGTTAGTGAGAATGATTAAATGGCTTGCAAGCTAGCTTCGTGCTCGCTCAAACAATACACAGAGAGGGAGGGAGTGCAATTTTAAAGAGCTTTCAAGGTGGTTGAAAATTTTTTTTCCTTCCCCACAACCAAGTGGGTGGATATCTTATTCCTTTCCACCGAACTTCCTGTGCCTCTCCTCGCAGACAATCCAAAAATATCTGGTTTTTTTTTTTCACCCTGCACTTTTTCTTATTTTTGACGATTTTGCTCACCAGTCTCATCTAGCCATC